GAAGGTGATAAATAGTCGGTATTGTCCTATCAGTACGGTAATGTCCAGCCGGTACAGTAAAGCACCGGCCGGTACGGTAACGCAACGGTCGGTACGGTAACGCAACGGTCGGTACGGTAACGCAACGGTCGGTACGGTAAAGCAACGACCGGTACGGTAAACCGAGTCAAACTCACAGGAAACCGGCTGGGTGGTAATGATCAGTTCCCTTATGTGTATTATACATCACCCTTGAAGAGTAAGGAGTCTAGTTTCTTTACTAGAGAATTCTTAAGATGTACATGTTCAGTCATTACAATTAAAATAAATATCAACACCAATTCACTAAATCGCTACTAAGTGTTGTCAGTACAGTTTAGAAATTACTGACCCTCAATTGTGCGATTGACACCTATTTTTGCGTCATCTCTATTTCTTCTGTGTGTGTGATTTTCGCACATTTTTTCCTGACTTTAAGGAATCACCAGCTATGTAGTTGTAGCAGTAGCTGATATGTGACATTGTGGCTAATGTGTGCGAGAAGCATTAGATATATGGCTAAAATCCTAACTGATTTGTGTTACTTCAAAAAGTTAGTTTAAAACAACAAAGTTAGGAGACAGTTTGTAATGAATACATATGGAGAGTTCTAAATTTCCACACAAGAAAAAAAATCAAAAGTCTAGAAGCACTAATTTATATTCATTCATGTTCTAAATACAGTTAATAATTAAGTAACTGTAAATTTTGTTTGGGAAACAAAAAATCACTATCAACTCGTCTTTGAAACATCTCTCTCTTTGACACGACATACCAACAGCGTCTTTCCGATGCAGCGAGCAATTTTGTCAATATTAACCTCTAGCTAGGGTCTCATATTTATGACCTGGAGAATTTTAACCCTTTGACTCCCTAGGCTGATCTTTTCAATGCCAACATGGCTGACGCACATGTCACAATCTCGTTTTGAAAAAATGCTTTTTGTCAGATTACTTATAAAATAAAAGTGCCAACTGGTTAAAATCAGTGAATAGATGGAGGATTTTAATGCTTATGCAGCTTTATCCCCTTGCTCTTGATTCATAATGATGCTGATTCAATAAAAAAAAAAATTTGAAATGGAATTCCGGATGAGACACTGTGTGGGTTAATTAAAGGTGAGTTGTTCCATGTGTGATCAATACATACTTTACTGCTGGGTAAAATAGATTATTTGTTTTAATGAACTGTATTTGTATGGCTCACTGACTGTGACCCTTCAATGCAATTATTTTATTTACTAGTAAAAATACCAAAAGCAGGACCATATAATCGAACAAGCTTATCTTTTTAATGCAGTCACTGACTTAGACCTATATATTGCAAAGTCCTGGATTAAATTAGAATAAATCACGGTCTTTATCTTCATTGTTTAAAACTGAGATGATGCACAAGTTGTCTGTCCACCTAGGGGTACAAACCTATTTGTACCCTTAATTGTCAACAAAAGCCATGTTTGCACAAACATTGATCTCATCTCTAAAATAATATATTTAGTGTTTCTTTAAAATAAATTTAGAAAATGAGAAGAAGAAATTCAACTTGTGACTTGGTTCTCTTCTGTCATCTTCTCCTGCCACTCATCAATTCAGAAAACTTTTTGATATACATGTAATCTGGTGTTCACACATAAGTTGGTTTGAGTCGGAGTCAGTTTATCTCACTGTTGAAAAACAAGTGTGAACAGACTAACCCGATATAGATTTGTTCTAGTTAGCACAGAGTCAGAGGGCTGGTCTCAATCTTGAACCAGAGTTCCGTGTTTAAACTTTGGATGTAGTCATAGATGAGTACAGGAATAGATGTGAATGTGAGGTAAATATAGGAATGCATGTTTAGCCCACTGATAAATAATATTCACAAAGCTATCTAGTTCTGCATTCACCAGTATGTATGAACAAGGCTTAAAATCTGCAAATGAATCTGATATCTTGGATTAAATGTAAGTCCTGATTATGAAGATCAGTTCACTGAGGCAGTTGAATGTATATCTGATAATATCTATTCTAATTTTATTTCTTATTTTTCAAAATGGTAATTGTTAAAATTGAAACTTGTGTGTCAGTATTGTGAAAATGGAGAGTTAAAAATTTATGGAACAAAATTGATAGGTCATATTTACTGGTAATCATATGTCTTGACTGTGGAAAGATGGATGGAAACATTCCCATCTGTTGTCAAGGCTACACTCACATTTGTATTTTGAAGACTAAGTAGGTTTATCCTTTCTGTTCAATTAAATAGTGAACTGTTGAATTGCAAGGCGATTCAGGATTACTGTTCAGTGACTGTCCGGTGGTAATCACAGCAGTCGCATCATTTTACATTCACAAGGTTGTCCTGTGATCCTAAAATGTAATATAATGTTGCTGGAAAACCCATCCCGCTGAGGCATTCTGTTTCGATGTGAATCTATTTTCAACTACATAATCCTAATCCTGACTGGGAGTCACGGAGAGATGAATTAATGTCTTTTTGATGGTATTGTGGCTTGTGGTAGGTCACCAATTTTTCTGAATTCCTGATCCATTATTAAAAAATGTTTATTTCATTGGGGTTATTTGCTGCAATTGACAGCATAGTGGAAAAAGTTAATGTATATTTACAATCCATTTATTGGAGTTCATTATTTTTTGGAATTTAATTTTTCAACATGTACATCAGGAAAATAATAAATGGCTTCGTATCTGGATTTAATTCACCTTTTCACAGAGTTCCACCTGTGTCATTTCATAATTGCATTCAGACCAATGGTTTAGCAGCAGCAGCTCATTTTAAAATATTTTCATGTGCCTTCAATACACAACGTGCACCGTAGGTAAATTATATTGCTAGAAAGAGTCACTCAACAAGCTGCCCGAAATTTATTTATAATGGAAAACAGCATATAGACCAGTGCACATTGTCAGACGTTCTATTTCAAGCTAGTTCAAACCTGACATCATCGTGGGAATTTCAAACACAACTTTTATTAGTCCCCTTGGGACTTATGTTTTGACCTCCGTGTGTCAGTGCGTGCATGCGTACGTGTGTGTGTGCGTCTGTGCGTGCATCCGGACCTGTATCTTAGAGATGCCTGGACCAATCACAATCAAACTTCAAACATACATCATACGTGATATTATACATATGCACCTCAATTTGTTTCACGATCTGATTCAAGATGGCCGAATGGCGGCCATTTTTGTGCTAAAAAATCCTAAAAATCAACCATTTCTCTGCTGTTTACAGATGGATTTTGTTCAGACTTGGTATATACATTAGACATTATGGGACCTTGATTCAAATAATTTTGTTTTTCAGATAAGATTCAAAATGGCCGACTGGTGGCCATTTTGTATTAATGAATTTGGTTCTCGTGCCATATCTCTGACTTGCTTTTACTGATTATTTTCAAATTTTAAATATTCATTATACATAATGTCATAGACAGATATATAGATTTTGACGATCCTATTCAAAATGGCCAAATGGTGGCCTTTTTTGTGATAAACAATCATCAAATATCAAGCATTTCTGGCATTTATGGATGGATTTCGTTCAAACTTGGTACATATATTAGACATCACAGGTTCCTGATGCACATCATTTATTTTTCAGTTCGAATTAAAAATGGCTGTCTGGCGGCCATTTTGTTTTAATGAATGGGCTTCTAGACCCATATCTCTGACTTGTTTTGACTGATAATATTTTCAAATTTGAAATATTCATTATAGATAAACAGATATATTGGTTTGACTATCCTATTCAAAATGGCCGAATAATGGTGGTCATTTTTGTGCTAAAAAATCATCAAATATCAAGCATTTATGGGTGGATTTTGTTCAAACTTGGTACATACATTAGACATTACGGGTTCCTGATGCTCGTCATTTTATTTTTCAGATTGGATTCAAAATGGCTGACTGGCGGCCATTTTGTTTTAATGATTGGGCTTCTAGAGCCATATCTCTTAAATGCTTTGACTTATTATATTGAAACTTTATATATTCGTTATACATCATGTTATATACATACATGTATTCAAAATGGCTGATTTTGAATGCTGTTCCAGAGCAATTTCTCTCAATATGGACAAGTACTTGTTTGACGATCAGATACAAATGTCAATCATTTTAATGTTAAAAAAATCATATTCCTGACATGGTTATATTCCAGCTATATTACTATAAACAAAACTATATATCTTAAATTTGATAACTAACGGGGACTGTGCCATGCATGGCTTGTTATCATTGTTACGTGTTAGTTTCTGCTGTTTAAATTATGTAGGACATTAAAGTTTCACTCACTAAACAATATTTCACTCAAATATGTGATTAAAAAGCAATTTAAGGTAGCGAGACTATTATTTGTGTTGAAAATTAGGATTTTCACATTTATTTATTAATTGTAAAAAGAAGGATCAAGTTCCATGTATAAACACTCGTGTAGAAAATCAATGGAGCACCATTTTAGCCAAAATATGCTAGTAAGGCGTCTGGTGTGTCCTGAGATGGCGTGTGATGTGACGAAGCAAGGGACAAGGAACCTTATTTATGTATGACCCCTAAAGGTCACACATCCTGGTACTTTACACACACATTTGCTATAATGGCAATTATTTCATATATACATGTATCGAATATATATTCAATTTTGGAAATGTTGATTTTGATTGACTTGAAAAATAATTGCAGAATTTGCATTCATAGAATTTGCTTCCTAGTCAGTACCTGGATGTATGGCCTCTAAGGGACATGCATATTAAAAATCTATTGGTTCAAGCTATTTCCACATTTTAATAAATCTAATAAAATAAAAGTTATGTTGGTTTTGAGTATCTTATTGTTACATTACTACCAGTAGTGCTCTTAGTTGATTTATACAATGTCCACGCTGGATATGGAGATAAATCTTATAAGAACGACTAATAAAATTTCACAGTCTTTCTATTAAAGTGGCATTATCTGTAATTTTGAACTTTTTCTTTTGTTTAAATATTACCATACAAAAATGGCCAAATCTTACCAAAATATTATTTTAGATACAATTGCATGGGCAAAGTGACCCTACATGTACACATGTACGAATCTATTGTTGCATAAAATGTGATGTGAAAACTTAGGGTTGAGTAGTCACTAGTAGTACCCTTTTTATAGGGTGTAGAAAACTATGACGCACACTATTAATATTTTTATATAGATAGCGCCTTCTTGAGTTCAGGGCTCAACCACACCGCCATCTTTTTCCTCTTGCAAGTGATTTAATGCACAACGTTGATATATAGCGTATATGCTATGCGTTCAGTGTCCACATTTTGGGGATTGTCGGTTCTTATGACACATGAAATGTTTTATTAAAAATCAGAGATAAAAAATAGATAGTTACAGCTGTTGCTGCTTTAAAGTAACAAGTTCTCATACAAACACTTCATCATGATTAGGTTTGTTACACTATAAACTTGATATGCTTAAAAAAAATGTTTTTAACACATTGTCTGTTGGTGTCCTTTTTTTCAATTACTTTTTGTATGTCCATGAAGGCTTTCAGCAGGCAATGCATTAATTCCAAATCCATTTCCCTCTTGCTACACTGTCCTGAGACAGAGGTGTGATTCTACTAACATAAAAATACATGGTGACGACACATACAGTGTAGATCTACATTTTTTCATACAAGCACTTCCTGTAGTGTGATTTATATAGTACAGTTACATTATAAATTTGATTTGCTAGTAAATGTTGTAATTCCAAATCCATTTGCCTCTTGCTACACTGTCCTGAGACAGAGGTGTAATTCAGTCCCTAGATCTGCAATTTTTCATGCAAGCACTGCCTTCATTGTGATTACTCCGGTAGTACAGTTACATCATGAATTTGATATGCAAGTAAAAATAAGTGATGAACACATGGTAGTACTGTTTGTAATAGCCTTGTAATAGACGGTTATCATCAAAACTATTCTGATTACCTTTTTGTCTGTATTTTCAGGGTTATTTGTTTATATCTGTGCTGGTGAGTGAAAACAGTGATTTGATGAAATTAATTATCCAGAATATTAAGAATGACTTAATAAGCCGCAACTCGGTACACACATGTCTAGCGTTGCATTGTATTGCTAATATTGGTAGCAAGGAAATGGCAGAGGCACTAGGTAACGAGATTCCAAAACTGCTCGTCTCTGCGTAAGTATTATGTTTGATTATTTTCACTCTGGAATGAGAGTCTTGTGTACATCAATAAAAGCTTAATGAACACACTAGGGATTGCTTATAAATACATTTTATGTTTTCTCCTGCATTAGCTTGATTATCAATGTGATTGTTTTTTACATAATTTATGACTGATTCCTATGTTGAATGCAAAATGTACTCATTATTGCCGTGTGTACGTGTTTTATGCAGTCTATGTTATCACCAATGACTGTGTTATTATTTATTTGTAACGAGTCTTAGTTCTTAAAATAAAAGTTGGGTAAAATTCATGTTTTGTAATACTGTGACAGATGGGTCCCTAACTGCAGTTTTGAATTCTCTAACATAATCCACACCAATTTTGAACAATCAAAAAAATGAAAAATCACCATTTCTCATGTGTATGGTACAACTCGAATCCAACACATCAATAAACCTCACCCGTTCGAAAACAGAGCTCACTTGCACACACCCGAAAGTGAACCCTAGGTGCCACTAAGCCAACTTGAGAAATAATGGTAAACACAGTAATTTCTGTATTAATAGGCAAGCCCTGTAGACCAAACAAATGAGTGTGATTGTACCCATTGATTACGAAAGCGTAAATCATTCTTATGTTAGCGTGGCTGTTTCTTTTAATTAATGTGTTTTTCACATCGTTGCCACCTTGTATATAGCTGGTAAACAAACAGACTTCTGCGATTTCAACGTTTTGATTTAATCACAGTGAATATTACTTGTCGGGTTCTTTTAATTTGGCGATATTTTTTTATGTCGTCGTCACATTGTTACATCAGACTTCAACTGTTTCAATGTTCTGATTTTGGAAACTTAGCATTTTTAAACACAATTAATCAATTATTATCTGTAAGTACCGATATTATAAACTTCAATAATGTGGATCACATTGTTTTCACATTGTCTATATGAAACAACAGACAAATATTAGTTGCCAAGCTTTTTGTTTTAAGGGCTAATCTTAAATTTTGAATTAATTTTTAATATGTCTCCAAAACTCGGAGTGCACAATAGTTCTTTCCAAGTTTTCTTTAACACATAACATCCCTCAGAAGAGATGACAAGGGTTACAATTAATTTGAATTAAAAATTAATATTAAATTATATTTTGTATGTATATTACACATTTTTGTATATTTCTATTTTGTCATACTCTTCTGCCCAGTAAAACTGGAGATTTTTTGGAGATTAATTAGTAGTGAATAGTGACTGAAAAATGCTCATTTCTCTACCAGTATATCTCTTCAAAATGGAACTGTTTGTCTACTGCAGTCACTCAAGTGTCTATGATAGTTGAGTTGTAGGCCATCTGTTCACCTGTTCACTCAAAACCAAAGTTATCGTTGAATTGGTGATCAAGTGAACAAGTTTGCTTACTTTGTTGCCTAATAGTACTTGCAATAATAAAATGTCTGCACAGAGCAGTTAAAGCATATGCCCTGCCACTAAGAGTACGATAGTTATCAATTGCTGGTAGCACTAAAATAAATTCATTTCCTTTTTATTTCAGAGAGACTCTGGACACTGTAAAACAGAGTGCATCTTTATGTTTGTTACGCATGTTGAGAACCTCACCGGATTCTATTGAGCCTGGTGAATGGATTAACAGAGCTGTGCATCTGTTGAATGATCAACATATGGTGGGTATACAAAATGTGTATTTATAATTTTCTACTGGCACACTGTATTGTATACTTTTGTACGAAATAAACCATACATCGTCAATGTCAGTGGAAGTTTTTATTTACACTGTGATTGCCGGTATATGCTTGTCATTCACAATATCAAACGTCTAAAAAAATATTCCTGTTTCTGATCATTATGCATGTCAGTTAAAAATAAAATTAAAAATTAAAGAGAAATTCAGTTTTCATGAAATTTTTCAAAAACAAAACAAAAATGCGCATTCACATTGATTTTGGAAAACAATTTGACCAGAGATCTTTTATGCTTTCCGAGACAAAAGTTGTTTTTGTGTGCATACATTAGCTATGGAGATTCAGACTAGTTGGCTAGGCAACGCAAGACACTCCAAACTTTAAGTAGGCATTTGGCACTGTTAGTAGTCATCAGAATCATGTTATGGTGTACGTGTGCTTCTGAATGTAGAAATAACAGTAAGCATCCCCGAACGCTACTGTTTCTAGGATTACAACATAACCTTGTTGCCCTTATTGAATTATTTACATAATGTATCGATAATATATGTATAAATACATGTACTTAGTGATGATATTAAATTTTGTTACTGTCTCTTTATGGGCGTGTATCACTTTCACGCGGAAGGCAATTCCTGTGAGAATAAATTGTCTGACTAGATCTTGTCATGGCAATACCACATCATACAGGCAGCCCTGTGTAGCTACTCTTGGGAAATTACCACTTTTTACTGCCTTAATCTCAGTTTGACTCTTGACACTAGTGCTGATTCAGTGAGGCAACTTGTATCTGTTCTTAATAATACCCAGAAACATATTATGTTAATGGATCTTGTATTCTCGTACAGCGTGATTGTGATGAAAAAGAGTTTGTTTGTTCCTGTACGATTAGTTTGTAAAGATCTGATTCAAGATGGCTGACTAGCAGCCATTTTTACCCTCTTCACTATGCTGTTCTCCTGGCGTGCAGTAACCAATTATGTTCAAAGTTGATACGCAGATATGATATCACATATTACACATTTACACCTAATTTTGTTTTGTGAATCTTTGAATGTTTCTGCTAGTGGTTAATTGAGATTACTTGGACAATTTCAATCAATCAAACTTGATCACACTATGTATAGCATGTGCATATTTTTCTCAAGATACCCAGTTGACCGGCATTTTGTTTTTGTCACACTTTCTCTGGATCAAAATCATCACAGCTTCATACAATTTCAGAATGCATGTCAAATGTATTAAAAAGATTGGTCACGTCATTTAAAATGACTTGTTTTGTTTTTCTTTCACAGGGAGTTGTTACAGCTGCCACTAGTTTGATTCATGAACTAGCTGGTAAGAATCCTGATGAATGTAAAGGATGTGTATCACTAGCCGTCTCAAGACTAAGCAGGGTAAGCAGTGTCAAAAATCTATACGACTTGTCTATACGTAACTCGTAGTACTAGGGTGTGTTGAATAATACACTGAGCTGATCTTTCGATACCCACCATTGAATACACTTGTAAAAATAAAATACATAATAATCTACAAAATTTGGGCAGGTGGCCTGACTTTGAGGGCCGGTGGCCTGCTTTTGAGCGCAGGTGTTAGCCAAACAAGAGTGCCAATTGTGGAAGGTCGCCATATGAGGATGGTGAATGGACTCCTGGATGGAGGTCAGAATGAAATCATTTGCCAAAGCGAAGGTCGGGAAGTAGATTGAATGAATAGAGGCCTCCATGGAAATAAAATTAAAATTGAAGCGTTAATTGTGATCCAATCCCAGATGACATTGATGGTGATGTCATGCTTTATTTTAACCCCCGCCTATTATACTTCACTTGTGTTGTCATATAATATATGCGAGTGTGGTTTATTGGTTATTTGTAGATTGTGACATCATCATATACTGATCTACAAGACTATACATACTACTTTGTACCAGCACCCTGGTTGTCTGTCAAGTTACTCCGATTGTTACAGTGTTATCCACCTCCTGAGGATCCAGCTGTTAGAGGGCGTCTTAGTGAATGTCTGGAGACAATACTCAATAAAGCACAGGTCAGTTGTCCCCCTACCCATTAGCCATGTATAGCCATTATATATACCCATTAGCCATGTATAGCCATTATATATACCCATTAGCCATGTATAGCCATTATATATACCCATTAGCCATGTATAGATATTATATATACCCATTAGCTATGTATAGACATTATATATACCCATTAGCCATGTATAGATATTATATATACCCATTAGCTATGTATAG